GATGCAAGGCAGCGAGAGCACCAGGCGGCCTCTGTAAAATGGCCGATGACGTGCTACGTGAATTCCACCCTGACAATAAAAAAATTCGAAAGAGCAGACCTGTAATGCCCCATATGCGCTGCGGTGACCTGGACGCTCTCCACTGCCTGGAGGGGCGAGGGGGAGGCCAGCCCTGCCACAGCGCCGACGCTGCACACAAACATTTCCACACCGACCACCTGCTCCCCCCAGCAAACCCCGGCTCCGGGAGAGGAGGCCAGGGTCAGTTCTGCGAGCCACTTCCTGCCCTCCCTCGGCAGCACCCTGGAGGCTCGGCCGGCCTGGGCTCTGCTGCCAGAGCCGCCTGGTGCCACGGGCCTTGGGGACGCGCGGCCAGGCCTCTGCATTCGAGCGCTTGCTTTCCCTGCGAAGTCCTTAGTCCGTCCACAAATTTACACAAGTTTTCTGTCTCCCGCCGCCACAGCTTCCGCTCCAAGAGAACGGAGCTCTTCGTCAAGCTGGAGGTCGGTTATCACGCCGACATCTGGAATAGTGTCTGGCAAATAATGGGGACTTGATAAACACTGGCTAAGTGAATGAGTCAGCAGTAGACTGTTACCATGAACTTGGCTGGATGTTTTGGGGAGCCTAGCTTGGAAGGCTGCATCACAAACGTGAAATCATTATGTGACAGGCCAAACCACAGATGGCAGCCGACTGCAGCAAAATGAACCTTGTCCACCCATCAGGCGCTCTCTCTCCCGAGGGCGGGCGTCTGCTCTGTCCCTGACTCTCGGTTCGTGGGAACTAGCAGGTATCTGTCTACCTAGGAGCGACCAAAACAGCACATTCTGAGAGGTACAGGCCAGAAGAGAAATAATCTGCTATAGGGCAGGGTGAGGGGCACCCCAGGGCCTCCAAACAGGACCCTCACACCTGCCGTTTCTGAATAGGTTCTGCCGTCCACCACTTCGAGGCAAAACACAGTCCAGCATGGAAGAGCTTCAGTGGGAGGAGCTCGAATACGCTTGGTGTGTGAGAAGAGAAGAAACAGGGAGAGAATGCAGTTTCCAAATCCAGCACCCAAAGTGGCCCATCCCCTCGTGGGTAAATGCCCAGCCAAGCAGGGTTGGCCCAAAGCCGGGCCATGGAGGCCCAAAAGCTGCCATGACCCCGTATGTGGGGCCCCCCGGAGCGAGGCGGGGGGCTGGGCAAGCTGGAGGGAGAACAGCCAAATCAAAATCAAGACGACTGTGCCGTACAGGAAGGGTCCCACCTGGCGGTGCACCTTGATGAGGCGTCTTGGAGTTGGGGGGGGGCGGGAGAGGAAGAACATGCGGGCAGGGCCCGGACCCCGGAGCAGCCGGGAGTGGCTTCCCTCTGGATTTGCCTGCACGTGCTGGGAGAAACAGCTCCCGAGGCAAAGCAACATGGCAGTGCAGGCTGAAGCCTGGTGCGGGGAGGCTGGCGCAGGGCCTGTCCAGGCCGCTCAGCGTGGCTGCCCGGGTGAAGACCCTCGAAGATGCCCAGAGAGCCGGGACAGGGCCCTGGAGGAACCGACCGCGGGGCGCCGACTCCCTCCTGCTCCCGGGTCCCTGCAGTCCGGCGAGCGTCCAGTTCCCAAAGGAGGCCCAGCTCCCTTGTGGCCACTAGGCACGGTCTGCGAGCTGCCAGCAAGCCCTGGCACAGAGCCGCGGCGCCCAGCCTGAGCCGGGCAGCGGGACGATCGTCACATCCCAACTGTAACAGTTTACTGGACAGAGGCCTGGCCCTCCCGACACACCCGGCACCTCAGCAGTTCAGACCGGGGCTTTCACTTTGAGGGAGTCAGAAACATTTCGGAAGTGTCCCGAAACTAAGTTTCTGCAGAGAATTCCAAGTTATGGAAACTGGGGAAAACCGTCCCAAGTAGCAGTTCAAAATGCAAGCAAGTCATTCGTTTCAGAAACGCTCGACAGAAACCAGCGCAGCCAACCTCAGGGCCGCGGTCGCTGCGTCCCTCCCCTGGCAGGGTCCTATCGCTTTTCCTTGTCACGTGGGCTTCAGGGGCTCTGGCTGCCCTTGGCCTGCACCGGCTCCTCCCGTGGGCGCCCCAGCACTGTGGGCTGTGGGTGCTCAGCTTTCCTCAGTGCCCGGCCTGGAGGGGAGAGAAACAGCAGAGCATGCCTTCACCCTGTAGCCCCAGGCTCAAGCACCAGCTGGCCCCCGCTCCTGTCACCCGGAGGCCTCGACTTGACGGGGTGAAACGCGCCAGCCCCGCCAGGTGTGAGCCAGAGCAGCGGGCGGGGTACAGCAGAGATGAGCGCACGCAGCTGTGGGGCCCCGGTCTGGCCCCTGCAGAGCACAGGCCCAGCGCAAGCCTGAGAGAGGCAGCTCAGCACCCGCTGACTAAGCGGGGCCTGTCCTCGGTTTTCAAAAAATGCAGGAACCCAGGCTTTAATACGAATTTCCATATTTTCAGATGTGAGCGACAAAAAAGTGCTAAAAAGTGGTTTTAAGATGCTCTCTAGGCCGAGCCTCGCACAGCCCTGGCCTCAGGAGGCAGCTCCGGGAGCCTGTGGGGGTAGGTGGTGGGCGGGCACTGCTTCCTGGCTGGCCAGAGCACCCGCCAGTCACCGGCACGGGGTCTGGTCGCTGCCGAGGCCGCTCTGTAGCCTGAGGCGCCGATTCCCTGGGGTTCAGGTCCTGACCCACCACTTA